GAGCGTCGATTATCCGAATCAATTGGGGACTAAAGTTGTTCGGAAGATCGATGTTTCTGATAACCGATTATATACGAAAGAATTTATTAATTTATCCCATCTTGACATTTTTCTCCGTTGCGTGTCGCTTCGCGTTGAATTTTCATCGATGTTAAGCCTAACGAAGACTATTGTATCGTTAAAAATTATTTTTTTATTTTGTACAAACAAAATAAATATATTGAAAAATATAAAAACAATAAAAAATTATACTTCAGAAGTTAATTTAGTATCAAAAACGTAAAATATTTGAGTAGCCGAAGACATAGCCAAAGATTACAGCGCCACAGCACTGGCGAAAATTTAAATTTGTCGACTGGAATTCCTTCGGATAACCGACCTTCGGATAAACAACGCTCTACTGTTTTAATATTCGGCTGCGAATGGTACAGTTCCTTAGAGTTAATATTAAGGAAAAAATGATATCTTAAATATTTTAAGATATTATATGGCTGATTTAATTGCTTACTACTTGATGGATGAACTTGTATTATTGCGTATCTTTCAAGTACCGCGATAAACGTAACAATGGAAGGCTGATATAACCAAACACATTTTATGCTTTTCGCTTTAGTGTTCGTTATATTGTAGTATTTGATTTATATAACTACAAAGGCAGTTATATAACGTTAAAGGTAGTTATATAGTTACGTAGGAGTATATCACATCGAGTGACCANTTCTTTAAAATGATAAAATAGTCCTCTTTTATTTGTAAAATATATTTGTAATAATAAATAACATTATAAATACGCAGCCCGTAACCTTACAGGTTACAGGTTGCAAATCTAGGTTTAAAGGGTATCTAATTTAAATTATTTAATATTGATATAAATCGAAAAATATTAAGTTACCTACGTTACGGGAGTTTTCATTATTAAAATTTGTACGAAAAATGTTAAAATGGAGGGAAAAAGAACTCGCAATTTCCAGAAAGCATAAAATTCCAAGATGGCGTCGGCAACAATACGAAATGGAACGAATTCGAATTTGTCGTTAGAATGCGTCACGAGTTTTACGTCATGAGTTTTACGTCATACATGTAATACTTCGAGTACAGTATTTTAAACGGATTCCGCTCGCGCGGAGATACGCGGGGTAATAGAAGAACGCACTTTAACTCTAGAACATAGCTGAGAGAACAGACTGTGGTTGTACAAATGAAGATTTTAACTTATTTACAAATAAATTATTTTGTAATGGATGTTTTAAAGAAGTATTTAAATTTTTTTAAAAGAAAATTAAAATAAATATATAAATAAATAAAATAAATTTAACTACTTTAAAAAATGCAATGAAATTTATAAAATTGATAACGAATTACAGCCCTGGTTACTAGATAGTCAAGTAACCAATTATAATTCCAAACTGTATAATTACAGTATACCGTTTGGAGAATCAGCGATCATATTCGGATAAGTCAAAAAACCCTCGGGGAATTTTTTTGAGTGATCTATCTACATATGTCGGGCCCCGTCCCTCACTACCCGGTCGCCCCATTGTGGGCCTGGCCGAACCACATAACGAGCTTGCTAAAAGAGGCCCAAATGCGGAGAATTAAAAAAAGATATACATATGCTTCTATCCTTCATCACTTGGATTAGTACAACTCACTATGGGCATCAGAAAAGATTCTTTTGTGCCCATAGAATTTGGTTTATTTTGTTACAACAACGTAGCACGTGGGAGATCTTCCGAGGGGATGGCTCGTTGGCGAAGCGCGAATCCACAACCTATCTTCGATTGCTAAATATTTTTCTTATTGTTATTTCCAAGCTCTAAAAGCATTTCTGTGATTTACTGAAAATCTACGCCTTTCTTTATTAATAGGATACTCGAATTCTTTAATTTGATGCGGACCCCTCTCAACCAGTACTGTATTTGACCAGTTTCAGATGACACGCAGAAAGCATTCCATAATGTAGGATCAGAATATCTGCTGGCTGTCAATGCTACTGCTACCCGGCTCTTGATGAATGAACTTCTGATGGTATTATTTTTTGGCTCTCTTCAACAACTTCTTCTGGAAGTGATTGGGGCGGCACTGAGTTTTTATTGCCAAATCCAAAGCAGTCGCTATTGATGTGGATGTGGACAACTCATCTAAACATGACTTTTGCACTTAGAATTCTTCCTTCTTCCTCTTTCTTTAAGCGTTTCTTTTTATATTCACTTCCAGACAATTTTTTCCTTTTCTGTTCCATACTGCAATAAATAAAATATTAAATAAAAATTCACAGTACTTCGTAAAGATGCAACCGGGGATCATTGAAAATGATTAAATATCATAATGCTTATCATGCTATTAAAATAGGGTAGATAAAATAACGATAGAAATGAGTTGCAAAGCTAGTAAGATTTGTAGATAACAGAACATAATAAATAGATAACGAATATCTGTCAAATTGAAAGCTAGCAGCCGTTTTGACATACGCTTTACTGTTTAACTTGTTATTGTACTGTATTGTCTCCACTTCAACGTATATGAATTTGGTAAAAATATAGCAATAAATAATGAACACAAAAGTAGGCAAATGCAAATATTTCCTAAGCAACTCTCCCTATCACACACAGAATGTAAAAGTTTATAACGCCCAATATTACCCAAATAACTATGCATCACACACGAGCACACGTTTTCCACATGAGATATACTCAGTCCATGCAGATGCTACATTTTAATTCGAGTCCCTATTGTCATAACATAATCATTTTCAATGATAACAGTAACTACAATTGCTGTAAAAAACAATAATTCTCTTACCCGATCTACTTTTTGAAAACTGAATTAGTATAAATACAAAAATATTATATTGATACGGACATATTATATATCTGATTTGCTTATTTAAACACAGCATAGTCACTTGTCACTTCTCCAGACAAACTGACATCAAAATCAAATATTGTCAATAATTGTAAGCTCGTAGCAGAACATACAACACGTAACACGTGCAATTGTCTTTTGTGAAAGCGCTTAGGCAGAGGCGTGCGATAAATCATAAATCGTATACATCAATATCGGAATAACGTAGACTAATATAGAAAAGCGTTGCATAATGATTTTTAATTATTGAATGATTCAATTGTATTTTGATTTCGCTGCTTATGCTATCCCGTTTACTGCTGCATGAGTCCAAAACTCAAATCCAACTAGCCTTACCTCCTCGTTGTGCCCATGCATACGTCCTTGCCGCCGGCTCCATTGTCCTGTAAGAAGTTCGTAATTGAATATCGATAAGAATCGAACACTGCTGCCAACGCTCTATGTTCGACTGGTGGAGTGAGAGCCTCAAAGATCCCAAGAAGGCAAAGAATCATATTTTTCTCCCCATTGCAAATTTCCACATTCTGAAATCTCCTAAACTCAAAATATCGGGAAAAGATTCTGTGTATGTGTTGGCGTTTATTTCGTATAAAAAAAATCCGAAATACTTCACGTGGTCAGCATATTGATGGTGCACGAACCCGCGACCAATTAAGGTTACAGTACCAGTGTTCCGTGGTTTTATCCACCCACCCACTCACTTGGGGTCCCTTAAACTCGGCTTTAAATTAAAGCTATATTAAATAAATGAGAAGCCTAATTAGATAGCTTTATTATGTACAATGAGCTAACTAATTAAAATACTAATTAATTAGGTGGTGCTTAATTCAGTAATTAAATACAGTATCTTGTTTCGTGTTTTTACAGCAGCTCTACAGTTTTTTTAACTGTGCCTTTAATTGTATCTAAAGCAATAAAATGTTAGATACTAATCCAGGAAATTTAACTTGATATGAAAAACACAACTTTAATTAATAATGATTTAATTAACTACCTCAGTTTAGCGCAGTGAAGCAAAAACCTCTTTATAACACGATACCGCTAAACGTGACTCGCCTTTATTGCTTTCATTTCTATCAATAGAAAATAATATAAATGTAATTAATAAACTTCGAAATATTAAATTAGCATACATTTAATTATCGAATGACCGGCTTAACAGTTAATTAAGCAAACCTCTTAAAAAAGAAAGAAAAATAAACATAGAAAGTGACGGTTCGGTGCCAGAAACGGTACATTTCAACGAAAATATGCCCTAAAAAAAATAGCTAATAACTTCTAGATAAGCGCAAGTTCATTAATGGGAGCTTGTCTGCATACTAAATCGATGATGCCCAATCTAATAAGGACCCTCCCAATGACCTTGACCTAATTTTGGGGGAATTGATCGGTCGATAACTTTTTAACCGTTGAAGATAGGGAAAAAATTCAAATCGCAAAGTTATAGAGCGAGGTCGATTATACGTGAAACTCGTCTCTTATCGGAGTTTTGAATTTAAACAAAAGGGATATGGCCGTCTAATTGTCTGCGATGTGCGCGACGACGCCGGCGCGTCGCGCCTGTCGCAGCCTTTCACCAAGAAGAGTAACAATTGGACGCGCCTATTGTTGTTCCTCCTGGTTTACGAAAGGAAATTGTTATAAAAGTTACACTTGTAAGTAAGGATTAAAAAATATGGGGAACATAATAAGCTTTTTTAAATCTGTGCGAAAAAATGAAAACCTAACAGTGGCTACCCCACTTCCTTTCATACATCATCTGACAGAGACAGGAACTGCGACACGTCTCCTGTAAATAGAGCGTCGCGACGCGTTAGACGCGTTGGCGTCAACTTGTCGCAGAAATAAAAACAGAGGTCATTCTCACAAATTTTCGTTCCTAATGGGGCGAGAGTTGTCTTAGTGCATAATAAACTTCAATAAACAACTTATTTTGGATTTAATTTTTGTTGTAACTCTAAAATCTGAGATGAAAGAGAGAGTCGTTATTATTGGATAAGGTATCGTCGATTTAGTGCGTAAATACACTTTTAATTCCCAATATTTACGTCTCTAGAAAATTTCGGACTCCCAGGACACTTTATAGATAATGCTGAAACCGTTATAAGATTCATCAGATTAATAAAAATTTTATTAAAAAATGTAATAATAATGTATGAAGCGAACGAGACAGATAGCGTCGCGTCGCGTCGCGCCGTTTGTCGGCATACCGCACTAAAGCCACGCCCCGTCTCGACGCGCCTCGTCGGACGTGCGTGACGATTAGATTGTGCCCGGACGTGAGATCGCTGGAACGTGAACGATTTTAGGAGGGGGAAATCACTCACCATCCGCCTGTGACGTCAGTAGCGGGGTTGTGCCTTGCAGAGATGGATACGAGCGCGTCTCGGTTGCGTGGCTCTAAAAATGGATGCCGACGGTCACGTGATGCGGCTGCACCAATCGTCGATTGTCGATTTCGAAAAAAAAACACGCCGATTCAATGGCCGAATTCGAAATCAATGGCATTTAAATCAATTAAAAGAACCAAACACACGGCTCGTAAGTATGTGCATGTATGTACGACTCGTGTATGTCGTGGTTGCATGCTTTTTATGCATGCTGAATATGTTTTTTTCTGTTGCAGCTATGAATAATGAATGAATCAATAACCAGATCCTCCAACATCTTAAAGAAACTCATGCTTTAAAAAAAGGATAAGAAAGAAAAAAAGAGGTTCATCACGTTATGGAAAAAGCGAAAGGTTTGCCAGTTTAATCTTAAAGATTTCATTCAAATCAAATAGAATTTTAATTAATTTACTCTTTAAATTGTATTCTCATCCATTCTTCCAGAGCATCTCCAGCTCCTTCAAGGCATTCTACACTCTTCATTCTGCGATTCAAAATTAATTTTTCCGAGAAAATTATTTATTTTTTATTGAAAGGTAAGCAAAAAGTAATTTTAAATGTCAAAAATTTAAATCTTAGAGTTAAAGTAAGGAGAGAAAAATTTATTCTCAAATTTCTAGAGCTCCACGTTGACAGAACTTACATATATGAGGCTTTATAAGCATTTATATGGCCCGGGTAGGGTGGCACCGATAGATTAGGCAGAGAGACAACCGTATCGAGTGCCAAGTTGGAAGGGATACTTAAGAAATGGCATCGTAATGTTTATAGAAATATAAGAATGTCAGCACCATTCTTAGATTACCTTGGATGCAGAAATTATTTGGAATGATCCAGTGTTCTGGCTTCTCTCGACCTCCAATCGGAGCAAAAGCCTTGGAATTCTTTAAATCCATTTAGTTAAGAATGTGGAGATTTTTAAGTATTGTTATTATAATTAGTGCTTCCGAGAGCTTGTAAGGACCTGGGGTAGAGCAGGCCCCCTGTTTGTCTTAGTGGGCCTATTTAGCCATTTGTTTTAAAGAATTATGTAGAATGTGTTTGTATTGATTAAAGGCAATCTTAAATATTTTATTTTTTGCTAGTAAAAATAACAGAGGTTAAAATTGCTACAGGCCCAAAAGTTTACTTCGTGCCTGGGGAAAAATTTCCAGCACTCTTTCCCTCACAATCCTGATTATAATTATTAAATATAGTATAATATAATATATAGTTTTCTATTATACATGATTAATTTTCTAATTAGTGACAAGATCAGGAAGATCACCTTCCTTTGTAAATAAATAAATAAATCTGTTGAGTACAGAAAAAAGATTTGAATATGATAAATGCTGCTATACACTTTTATATACAATATGTAAGAGTTTACTCTTTATCCATAGAGTTAGTGGTTATGTACACAATGGTGTTAGGGTGAATGTAAATTTGTACAGTCATTATCTCAGATTGTCAGCGATAGCTGGGATAATAAAAATTAACTCTTAGACATAATGTTTTTAGAAACAAAAAATTGCATTCTGGCTATTATTTTTCAGTGATGATACATTCATTATCAGAATACATTAGTGTATCACAATGACTGTAAATGTACTTGAAAATATTAAATAAAATAAACTTTTGTCTTCCTGAAAGAAGTATTTATGCTTTTTATTTATTTATAACATAAGAAACAGGAATAACAATTTTCTGTATAATTTCATTGCTTTACTAACTATTAATTTGTTGTTTTCATTCTATGACTTATATCTTGCCTGGCACACCAGTGGCTGAGTGAATAAAGCCACTGAACACTTGTATTTGGTTGTGGGCTTGCACCTCACTGACAGACTGGCCAATTAGAGTTTTCCAGGTTTTCTTTGTTGTGAATCTAGCATTTAAATAAGGCCAGTTTCCTGTAAAAAATTGCCTAGGGAGGCATTTCCTTGGTAGATCGCCAATGCATTGCTTTACCTTATCCTATCGATCCTGTCTTACCTAATTGTTTTCTTATTTATCACTCTCTTACCATAGGATTTACAATAACTTTGGTTATTGTTAAAGCTACAACAACTCTTAAGGAGTGGAAAATTTAATTCTCCACATATCATAAGCCCCAAAAAAGACATTATAATTCTAAAAGGATAATTGTAACAAAATAATTAATATTAAAATTTAATTCTGTTTTTATTTATCATTTTTATTAATTATATGCTGTTTTTCTTTTTTAATTTTGTATAACTTGTTTGATTCTGAAGATAAGGAGACTTGTTTATTCCAGAACAAAAAAAAAATTACCAGGTGTTTTAACATTTATACTGCAAGTGGTCGATTAGACACGCTTCAAGAGCTGCAATTCAGGAATCGACATCGGTAAGAACCTACGATGTGTTAACGCAACATAATACTGCAATGTTAATGGTATCATGACAATGCTGTATCTTGATTATTATCAGTTAGGTTAAGTTTATTTACTTCCTGGACATTGATTTAATATGATTCATTTCTTTTAACAATATTTTTATCATTTTTAAAAGTGTATAGTGATGTTATCTAAGCTTCTCACTCGTCAAGTGATATTTTCTGCATGAATTGCACCACACAAGCTACACTGCTAATGTCACTTGAATGTTGATAGCTGTTAATCTCATAATACAAACAATAACTCTCTATCATTTATCTGTCTCTCTGTACTGAATGCTTATCTTAGTGTTTAAATTTATTTATTTGTAAATTGATAACATTATTGGTTGATTTATTGATTTTATTGATCATTTTTAATCATACTGTTGAATGCCTTCTTACTCGTATTACCTGTAATTATGGCAAAAAACATAAAGTCAGCTGTACTTGCAGATTTCAGGAGGAACAGTACATTAGTAGATTAAATTTGGAATATATTCTATGAACAAGTTCATAGAATATTACAAATATTGGATGAAATTTATGCCATTACTCACATGCCTTGAGAGTATGTATCATTCAATCTGATTCTATATTAATATAATTCCATTATAAGGATCAACAGAGTGATAAATATTTCATACGAACATAAAATTAATGTGTAAATCACTTGCATATTCTGTAAACAAACAGTGGAAGAAAAGGGTTTTGAAGAAATTTTAACATTACAAGAATAACACTGTAACTTTCTTTGACTTCATTTAACAAATTTTAAAACAAACTGTTTCAAATTTGAATATTTTATTAATATAGAGTGAGGTATGAATTTATAGAAAATTGGAAAGAATTAAATTAAATTGAAAATAATAATGGAAGTGTTATACTATTTTTATGCTAGTTTAGTCATTAGAGCATGAGACAATCTCAGGGTCAAAAGTTTGTGCACCATGTCGAATAGAATTACATATAATTAAAGACTGAAAATTCTGGGAATTATATCAGGCAAATTTACGATAACAACATATAAATACAGGATATGTAATCATTATAAATAATAAACATTCCACTATTATTAACTGTTTTAAAAAAAGGGATCTAGAATCAAATTTTAGATAAAACTTTTACAACTTCACTATAGAAATTGGTGTATAAAATATTAAAATTTCCTTGTATTTAAGATGGAATCACTCATTGCTAACTTTTTAAAGTTGGATATACATTATGCAAAAAGATAAAAATATTAGAATTTAATTAATTGTAAATGTTTTTAAAACATTTTATTTCATCTTCAGTTACAAAAGCAAAATGGATTTAAATGACACTTAAACTCAAAGAAAAGATGAAGTCGAGATGAATGAAATGTGTTGGAGAATGTCGATCAGTACTTCAAGTATTGTACAGTATATATACGCTTGAAAGAACTGCTACTGCCACATAGTAGCAATCCAGACCTTCACTGCTGCAAAAAAATCCATCCAATAATGTAACATTATCTTTTGAAGTATTTTCTTTATGGGCTTGCAGGTATGCTATGAAAGTGCCAGAGATGAGAGCACCATGTGCAAGAATCACAGATGCCATTTTAACAGTGTGATTTCTTACATACTGGCTTGGACATGGCCTGAAGTCAAGTAAAGACTGCATATTGTCATGTCAGGAGCATGTGTGAAAATGTACTGATTTAATGCACTTTTTCCCAAATTTAATCCGCAAGATCAGAGGTAATTTGAGATGAACACTGTAATTCCAACTACTGTTATATTGAGAAAAATCCAATGCTCCATAATATTTTTTTTTGGCAAGTAATACTTTTAAAATCTGAAACTATCTTCATATCACTTCCTAACTGCCGATATACTGGATTAATTGTATTGAGAACTAATAAAATTAAAGTGATAAATATGGTAAAAGTATCCTAACTTATTGGGATGATATACAGTGCCTTCCAAAAAGAATTCTACCATTTAAAATTACTGTAATTATGTTAATTATTATCTGAGAAGTAGGCGACATACACTAATCAATAGAGTAACTGTCTGAATTTCATCTCCCATTTGCATTCAACTATCTTGTCATCTATTGCTTCTAGGAAGTGCCATAAATGAAAATGGCAACTTTACAACAGAAAAGGCATTTTACGTTCTTCAGAGTGCAAGGTCAGAATCACTCGCCACTGTGCAACACAAATAATCTGCAGGAGCTGTAGAAATGTGGCTGTTATGGGAGGAGTGACATAGGAAGAAGTTGAGTATTGGTTGAATGTATTTTGTGTGGCATGAAGTATGCAAATTGAGAAACTGTACTGGGAAAATTTGAAACTTGGACAGTTTTCTAATGTTTTAATGTGCACTACAATATTCTAGAATAATAATTAACGTAATTGCTACCATTTTAATTTATTGTATTCTTTTTGGATTGAGGAGTATATCTATTCCAGATTTTCTTTGTTAGAACATTTTTAGATAATTAACAATTAAAAATATAGAAATTAACTCATTAAAGTTGTGGTTAAACTGATTTTAAAAGTGTCTTGAATATCACTATGCCTGAAGATGGTTATATACTAATTATAAGTAGATATAATATTTATGAACATTAAATACTAATAGCTGAAATTACCAAAGGCCATCCATTAGTTACATGTATAGTTAATGGAAAGAAGGTTGCAAAAAGTACACCATTGTACACAATAGGGAGGGAGAGGGCCAGACATCATATGCAGACTTTTTTAGTAGTACAGTAGAGCCTCGAAAACTCGGCACTCGATAACCCAGCACTCTGGGTAACTCGGCCACACCTTGGCAGGGCAAAAAAAATCCTTATTTAATTAATTTTCATTATAGACAGCTTTATGCCTCATAAAATATTTTTCTGAGGTCTGTCTTATCAGGTAAATTACTGTACACAGTGTATTCATTAATTTTCATTTTCATGTAGTAAAGGCTCTATGCCTTCATAAAGTACATACTTTTCCTTTGTTTAAGGGTATTTGGGCAGTTTATTCTCTGTTGTATTCTCAAGTAAACAATACAAACAAGTACAGTACAGTATTTTCTGAGGAAACACTCATACTTATTTTTTTTAACCCCATTCCTGATAACCCGGCATTTTCACAAACTCGGCCATCCTTCGGTCCACATTAGGTCGAGTTTTCGAGACTCTACTGTACCGGTATTAGTGGCATATAGATTTGTTCTTATATGTGTACTTACTAGTAATGTCAATAAACTATAAGTTAGAAAATATTTATAAAACTGTTTTTAATTCATTCCTTTAATGTCAAGGGATTTGTGAACTATTGTATGCATAAGTAAAGGGAAGGGAGCTTTTCAAGAGTATAATACTGTCTTACACAATCAAGAAGAAGGGGTTAAAAAAAAAAAGGCCTGAAGACTATATGTATTTAATAAACAGCCCCATTATGTTGTCAGACCCCAAAATAACTATAATTCTAGAAATAAATAAATCCATTAACCCATTATTCTGGTATTTTCTCATTAATATATGAAAATAGGAATGATATTACTTGACATGGAACATCAATAAATCTCAGTTGTCTTACTCTTTAAAAATTCATTCATTAACTTTATATATTATTTTAACTGAATTATTTTTATATTTCAGAATCATAATACCAGAGTGAAATCCTGTTACATCTTCATATTTAGAAATGATTTTGAACCCAGTTTATTAAATATGCAAGCAGACAGAATTGAAGTCTCTTCAAATATGTTAGATTCAAGTTATTTGAACTTTAATAATTCAAGAAATTTACAAAATGTAAGAAATTCTTATTTACGACATAAAATAGTTTAGTTATTCTGTGTGAAAGGATTGGATAGTTTCTATCCTCAATGCTTAGTATTGGTTAAGCATTGGGGATTGTGTTAACTTGAACTATCTTTATACCCTCAATGTGAATATGATGCCACTTGAAGTTAGCTCATATCACATGACAGATCAACATGTTTGTGTTAAGACGAGGTATTAGATACAATACTTTTGAGCAGTGGTACACTCAGACTTTAATCTTCAGGAGCTGAGTTGAACAGATTAAAAAAATTTTAATTCAAATTTAATAAAATTTCCACCTTATGTGACTACTAATTCATAAATAGATACAACATAATACAAATAAAACATTAATTTTAATTTAAAAAAGGTTTTTGAAAATTTTCTAGTATTTGTTTTCCTTTTTCTTTGGAGGGTGCCAGGGTGTGCCACTGCTCTTGAGTCGTTAGTATTGCTACCAAAGCCACATTAATTTGTGGGCATTTCAGGATATGGCTTTACATTACTGTCTTAAAGTTGATCTCACTGCTCATTACTATATTTTTGTTCTGTATTCATATAATACCTTTAAAGAAATTCGGTTGGGGACCAAAAATATATAAAACAGTCTCTGTTTTTACTTGTATAAATTGAGACTAAGTATCTCTTATTTTCTTTTCTTACTGCAGAAAATTATGAATTAACAACATAGCATTAAAATGTCTGTGTGAGAAAAACTAAACAAAAAGTTATTTCTAAATACCATATAAATATATGCTTTGATTACACTCAAAGCTACTTTACTTAAGTATTTATAGTGAAAATACTTACATGTAATTTGGCAAAAGCTGGATTGCCATGTGATTAACATGGCAATCTAATACTATGGTGAATATGGATGGGTCAAGAAACCCAGGATTTTTGGGAGTATTCTGTCCCGATATATCAGACACCATCTCTCATCACCCAGCCACCCCCATTTTGGGTCTGGTTGAACCCATAGTTGTTTCCTAAAAAGGCCCTCTTAGTGCCCATAAGAATGAGAATTAAAAAACAAATGTAATTTGGCTCTAATTTTATGCTTAGATGCTTTCGTATATATATTGAAATGTGTATAAATGAAAAGAACACGTATCAACTGAATAAAATTTAATTCTGTGATTTGCCAAGTGTCTGTATAAATACAATAAATAATTTGTGTTTGAATTACAAAGATTACTGGCACGGTTTCAAAAATACCAGGATGCTTTCATATATTTTAATGTTATATTGTTATTCTGTAATATATCTCAATTGGATTGAATTTGCTGACTTAAACCTCTTGTGTATTATGAGTCTATGACAGATTTTTGTTTGACTGTCAAAGATGAGCTTGATGCATGTTGGAGTCAGTCAAAATGAATGAGAATTTTTCTAAAAAAGTCATGAGATGTTAATTAAATTCTTCCTTAGCTTTTATTTGTGACACTGCATGTTATTAATCTAGTCTAGACCATTATCTATGATGTAAGGCAATCAATAATTAGGTAAAAGTGCTCTTAATTTTATTAGACTTTATACAGTGTGTGTAAAAACTTACTGTGCAGTGAAAAATTTGTAATGACATTAAAATTATATGCATGACATTTGTAAAAGAGACCCATAAATGATACATTCCACATTTCTACTTTATGACAGATGGTATTACTGCTCACTCACTGATGTTCCAGTTTTTGGCTTACAGCTTTCAGTTAGATTTCATTGCCAATCACATAATCTCCCATAGAACTGATCCATTAGGTCTCCACCCCCCCAGATTTTGGGGCTTCTGGAGGACATTTCTGGCATTTCATATATGAGAAACTGCCATATTGTATGTAAAACTTCACTTTTATTAAACATTTTTCACTGCACAGTAACTTTTCAGACACCCTGTAAAAGTAGTGGTAAAGGTATTTTTTCTCTTTCAGTTAAAGAGAAACAAATCCAAACCTGAACAATGTAAATAGTAATCACATCGATAACCTTTGTTTAATTCCAGTATTTCTTTAAAATGACAAATGTCTTTGAACAGTTTGACCATCCTACTTCAGATCTGTTGTACGTGTTTCATTTAGACTACTCATTCTATTGTGTTCTACATTCAAACTTCATAGAAGAAACTAAATTTTAGATAGAGTGCATTAATATACAAGATGCAGATTTGATATTATATGCGTAGAAAGCTTTTTATGATAGCGGCAAAAATAGATTATAATAATAACTCAATTAAACTGGGGTGTTAACATAAAATTAAACAGAATACGTTATATTTAAAATTTAATTTGGTAAATTTAAATTTCATAAATTTCAAATATAATTGAAATTGGATTTGGTTTGAATGTAGAACACAATAGGATGAGCATTCTAAATGGAACATGTACAATGGACCTGAAACAAGACAGTCAAGCTGTTTGAAAACATTTGTCATTTTAAAGAAATACTGGAATTAAACAAAGGTTATCGATGTGATTAATGTTTCTTTCAGTTGTATCTTTTGCAGATAAGATGATGATGAAAGGACATGGTGCATCAGAAGTATTAGGTCAATATTTGTAACACTGTGATATTACAAGCATTATTTTTATCGCAAAAGCAAGGGTTTTTTTTTTTTTATATAAATTAGTTATCAGCTTTGAACAGTTCTATCTCTTGGCCAATCTTTATACACACCAATGTTGATGCATGCTTGGAGCTATGTTTGAAGCACTGTAGAGCCGTAGTTCTCAATCCTTGGTCTGCGGAACAAGGGTGCTCCATGAAACCTCTTCAAGTGTTCTGCAAAAAAATCAAATATACAATTAAAAATTATTGCAAAAGAAAAACCAATACAATGTAAAATAATTTTTGTATGGGAATGTAATCAGCAAATGCCAATGTCGTCATCTACTAGACCAAGTGCGCTTGATTTCAAAAAGGTTTTCTATCCTTGCTTTAAAGTTGATGTATTGTAACTATTATGTGGAAAAAAAATGCCAAAGTTTAGTGTTCCCTGTCTTCAAAAAGATTGAGAACCACTGCTATAGAATGCTTCAAACATTGTCCTACTGCTACTAATCCATCCTCTATATTAAAAAGAAAATAAGAATAATTGAAGTTAGCAAAATTGTTATTTTGTTTTAATTCAAGTGGATTTTTACAGATATTTTCTTCTGAAAATTCAGAAGGATTGTAATGTTATTTTACTGAAATTACAGAAAAGTTCTTTAGAAATGTTGTAAATATAATACAATCTATATTTTATTTAAATAGTTTCATAATGCCAGGATTCATTATATGAATGATGTTGATGATGATAGTGATGATGATGCCAATGTTCTGTCTACTCCAAAGAAAAACAATACATTATCCATTCATTATAAAGGAAATGAAGCTTATGGTTTCCAAACAAGTTTTCCTGATTTCATTCAAAGTATGTAATAATCCATTTTTATTTTATTTATTTTTTTCTAAATAGTAATATTTATATGTCTCAAACGATTGGACCGTGATTACTTTAAAACAGTGTTTTTCAACCTTATTGAATATGCGACCCTTTTACAAGTTAAAAAATTCTGGCAACTCCCCAGGGCCATATTAAAACTATATCAGTGATTTTAAAAACTATGTATTTAATTTTCTTTCTGTTGAGATAAATTATTGTTGATTAAAATGAAAATTTTATAAGAATCGACAATAACTTAACACAGATAAAGTTTCTTCTAGCAGGTCAGCTCAACACTTTTTCGGCTATGATTTTCTGGGGTGGGCCGTATCCACCCAGGTTCCTTCCTGGCTACACCCATGGTAGAGACCTAAATATTGATCAAAACACCAATTGTACTGTAAAATAAACAGATACAGCCTTCTCGCTGAAACTGTAGTTTTTTTTAATGTAGTGTATGACCAACGAACACTTGTCTTTTTCTTTTACCTGTGACCCCCGTGTAAGGCTTCGCAACCCACAAGTTGAAAAACACTGCTTTAAAGCTATAATAAGACTAATTAATAAATGATAAAACAATGTAATTTTGCATAAAGGTTAGATAATTTTGTTAGACCGTCATCTTGTTCTAAGTTTTCCTATTATAAATTGAATTTGAAAGTCTGGATAGTTTTAGGTCAAATGAAGCTGTTTATTTATCTATTAATTAGTTTATTATAGGCAAAATTTAATCTGGCTTTAGTTTGAATAATTAAAAATTTCAGTTAGTTTAAATTATCTGAACATTTATATGTAATTTGCTATAAATTTTAAGGACTTATCACATCAAAGTTTTCAATTGGAAAGCTCACTAAGATTTTATTAAATTAATATTTACATTTCAGACCATATATCCTACCTCGGTTATAATTCCATCTCTTCGGATACCAATTGTGAATTAAAATTTAATGTTAAATGCAAATTGGATAGTACAAATATACCTGAATTATAACCAAGGTAGGGTATATGGTTCGAAATGTAAATATTAATTTAATAAAATCTTAGTGAGCTTTCCAATTGAAAACTTTGGTGTGATAAGTCCTTAAAATTTATAGCAAATTATATATACCTGTTCAGAAGATTTATTACAATATTGGACAAAAAGCAAATAATTATAATTTCAGTTGGTTGTTTGAATATATTTACAGTATACTCTTTCTAATCCAGTTCTTAATACTCTAGCCTTTCAATTATCCTGCATATCCAGCATTGTGATTGCCTAGTACTTCTGTTTCCATGGAAATGTTAGTTATTTTACAAATCCTGTTTTCCTATTTACTCAGGTTTCATCTCTGTGTATAGTATTGCATGTGAGCACACTATTATTTGCCCTCATGCCTTCAAAAAGAATCAGTACTGAAGAGCAATGTTTTTTATCATTGACTTTATACAGACTGTGTGACTGACAACACGATATTGACATATTGACTACCATTCAACTTGTGGTGATGTCAAGCTAATTTGATCTCATTCTCTCTCACCTGTGTGCTGGTGCAAGCTGTGTCATGTCTTCACTTCATGACATAATATATTTGTTTTATATGTTTTATATATTTGTTTTATATGACATAATATATTATAAGACATAATATATTTGTTTTATATGTTTTGTATATTCTATGTAATTAGCAGATGTGGATATACTCAATCATTTCCCTCTGTTTTCCTAACTACACACATGGATGAGAATATATTAATTATTGTGTACAGCTTAGCCAAGCAGAGGCTTGCCTAAGCTGTACACAATAATTAATATTTAATGCCTGAGGCTCCATAATCTGGCACTCTCACTGATCTTGGCATCCCTCTGTTCAAGAAATGGCTAGATTAGCAAGTGTATTTATCTAATCTCAGAAATTAGAGTTAAATTTAGAGTTTAATGCAGTGTTTAGAAGCCTATTATCGCACCATAGCAAGCTTTTAAAGGTGTCAATTTAATTATTTCTCAGAAATGACACAAATGTAATTGGAATTTTTTTAATGGTTTTTCTAGAATCCTACTCAAAAATAAAAAGTATTGAAAAAGAATTGAAGTTGAATGAGGAATTTAAAATTCGGCAAGATCCAAAATTGAAATTTGAATGCAAAGTTGTTTGTGAAAGATTGAACATTAAACTTGATGATGGGAAATGCACAAAGGTTAGTCAATGATGATAAAATCTGTATTTTGTAAATATATTTTGTTTTTTGGTAACTTTCATAAATTTATTAAATAAAAATAGCATAAATATAAGAAAACAAGCTATATTTATATTGCTAATCAAGTAATGAAGCCAAATTTTTAATATCGGGCTACATTTTTGGCTGATTGAATATACAAATGCTATGTAATTTGGACTAAAGAAAAGTGATTAAGTCACCACCTTGTATTAAATTCATTAATTAGAATTAAATAATTAATTTAGGAACTTCTGGAAAAAAGAATAATCCAGAGCAGGACTCAAGCCTTCAATTTTCAGACTCATTTAGTCTGGAAGTGAAGATTATCATCTATCAGTATAATTGGCAAACACAGCCATAATAAGCAGAAGCTGAAAGATTTGAGTCCTGCTCCAGATTGGTCTTTCCTTCCAGAATATTTGATTTAACATAGTGATCTAGTTGCCTACTTATAGTCCAAATTACATAGCTTTGTATATTTAATTAATTTGCCAAAAATGTATCCTGGTAATAAAAATTAGGCTCAATTATTTGATTAGTAATATGATAATAAATTATTAATATCAGTACACTTAGTGCTTACCTTTACACTAAATTACTTTCTATTGATAATTGTTAATCATGATAGAATCATAATAGTCTGGTATTTAGAGATTTGATTACTGTATTTTATTCTAATACAGTCGACCCCCCTATAATTACGGTCCCTATAATTACGATTCCTATAAAACTACGAAAAAATATACGTATTTTGGAAATGTTGAGTCGGATTAGTGTAGAATCGATTAATTTTCTGGAAGAAAACCTTTCAATCAGCCGTAGTCCGTAAACTTGACACGTGTCGGGCTGTGATTGGAATGACTTGTAAGAAATCGGATTCCTAATAAATTGGAACGTATCTATATCTTATAGGGGGGGGTCGACTGTATTGAAAATTTTGTAAGATTCTAACAAAATATAATATTTTTCACTTGAAAACTGGTCCAGAGAATTGTATCTTGGGTTTAATTATTTGTAACAGGTTTATATTGGATTAATGGGAGAAGGCAATGCCTCTCAAGAAGATTTTCTATGGGAAACTGGGCCCATTCTTGAGGTTTCTAACACTTGTTTAGTTATTATAAATGTGAAGAAAACCTAGAAATTCTGTTTAGCTATGTATAACTTCACTGTTGAAGTTATATATAATCTCACCAACAGTCTATCCAACGGTTGTTGAGGTTCAAACTCCGACCAACTACCATAGTTCAGTGGACCCAATCTAATCTATAATATATACTTATACTTCAGTTTTTATCAGAAGTATGAGTACATTTTGCTTTATTGCTCTATACATTTTACATGTAATTAATGAGGTTAATGTAATGTTTTGTATTCTGTGCTGTGTATTATTATTAGAACAATAAAACAGTGGCTTGAGGATGTGTGTTATGTAATTTTGAGAAGGTATGTGTGTAGGTAAATGGAGCATTTTGGGGTAGGATTGTAGTTAAAAAGTATAAAAACAGCATTACATAATTTATGAATAATCCCTGATTTGGAAAGGGACTTGAATCTATCACTATTGTATAATCTGGATTATGTTTAATACTGATTTAATTTTAGTTTATAACTATATTTACATCCCTCTGTTTTATTATAGATTCAAAGGAAAGAAGGAAATTTCATTTCAAATGAAGAGAATTATAGTACAGACAAAAACTTTTTTATTGGCCAGACTCTACCCGACATGAGTCACCTTTGGAATATAACGCATGCAATTACACAAATAGATTCACAGTTTTTGTTGAACAATAAAAACATCAATAATAAAGGTATTTATATTTGAAATTTTAATTTCAAATTGAAACAGTTTGTGGCACTAAGAGGGCCTTTTTAATCATATTCATCAAAGGTTTGACCAGGACCACTGAATAGTAAAGGGCAAGGCCTTACATATCTGGGACAGATGTAATCTGTTCCAGATATGTAAGGCCTATGTATTGGGCCTTGTCTCTCATCACCTTGCTGCTTCCATTGTTGGCTCAGCCTGGCTCACAATAGTTACAGAAAAAAAGAGTTCTTTTAGTGCCCGCAAGACAAAAAGAATTAACTTTGATTTATTTTTTTATGGGTAGTTGATAAATACTTTCTCATATAATTAAATAGTTCATGAATTCATGTATACTGGTATTTTAAATTTTTTATTTTAATTTATTTTGTAGATTGTGAAAGAAGAATTGAAACAGTAAATGGTGATTATAATATTAATGAAGCATTTAGGGGTGAGAGTAACATTGAGAACGATAGTGAAACATCTAAGTATCTATCTATACTTAGATTTAGAAAAGAATGTGTGATTTGTAGAACTAATATGGTAAGAAAAAGTTTCGTTAGAAAGTACTTATTAACTCTTACTAAAAAGAGATATCACTGTAAGCTATGCAATAAGTATTTTTTCAGCAAATTTGTTTATGTGAATCACCTTTTTCTACACGTCGGAAAGAAAGCATTTGCTTGTAGTCTCTGCAAGGAAAATTCTTTCATACAATTCTATTTACAAAATCATGAAATCGCACTTTTAAGAAAAATCCCTTTGCATTGCAAAGCATGCAGAAGGGAATTTAAATTAGATTCGAATATCATATTTCAACAACGGAGTTACTCCAGAGCCAAACCTTATCAATGCAAACGTTGCGGAATGAAATATAAGATGAGAAAATACTTATTTTGGCACCAGAAATATCATGCTGAAGAAAAACTCTTCCAGTGTGAACTGTGTGAAAAGAGTTTCAAGATGAAATTGGCTTTGACACTTCATCTGAAATCTCACTCTGGCAAAAAAGCTTATCAATGTGAACTATGCAAAAAATATTTTATGACTAAGTTAAGATTGATAATTCACTTGAAAAGTCACCCAATAGAAAGTGGGTTTAAATGCGAATTTTGTGAAAAACGCTTCATGAGGAATGTACATTTAATGCTTCATCAGAAATGCCACTTTGAAGATAAACTCTATCAATGCGAGCTCTGCAAAGAAAGCTTTGGAATGAAATTAGCTTTAAGGATCCATCAGAAATGCCACTCAGAAGAGAAATCTTATCAATGTGAAGTCTGTGAAAAGAGTTTTCACAAGAAACTAAATTTGATATTTCATCAAAGGAATCATTATGAAGAGAATTCTTTCCATTGTGAATATTGCGGAGAAGGTTTCAAAGTGAAGAGCGTCTTACTAATTCACCAACAGATCTATCACAAAACTATAGATTTGCGTTGCAAATTTTGTGGTAGGATTTTTCATGTGAAAAGGATTTTAGAACATCACGAGAGGTATTATTGCAAGAACAAAACTTTTCAATGCGAAGTATGCAATGAGAATTTCAAGAAGATTTCGACTTTGCGTTGGCATAAAAAGTTTTGTGGGCGTACGCCTATTCAATCTGACTTGTTCAAGATGTTTGAAAAGAATCTGAAATACATGTCATGTGCAGAGAATAGTTACAAGGACACAATTTGCAAAATTTGCAATCAAAATTTCTTATCGAAAATAGGGTTAATAACCCACCAAAGGTCACATTTTCGAGAATCTTTGTTAAAAAGTGATGCAAAAGAGAACTCTGTGAAAGAATATCATAAACTTGGGCATTACGAATGCAATTTATGCCAAATTAGTTACTCATCCAAGAAAGATTTTATGGAACATCAAAAGTTTCATCAGTTGCAAAACTCCAATATGTCGTTATTTCTTCTACCCGTCGGTCAGATGAATTATAATTTATTATGGAATGGGTCGCGTGGTCTGATTCTTCCTCCGCCATGTTATTCAGACACTAATTTAGATCAAAATACATCGTGAAAAGCATTGTTAAATATGCTTATAAGCTCTGTATATGGCAATAAATATTCCTATTGATAAAGTGTAAAACACTAAACATTCTCGTTGTATAATTTATAAAGTTTGATATAGAAACATCTTTAGTAAAGTTGTAAATAAATTTGATTTAAAATTATTTATATTTTTTTGTCTATGAAAATGTTTCAGGAATCCTTTAGATGTCCAATTCAGATCTGGATTGTGGTCACAAGTTGAGACATGTTTTCAGTTTCTAATCCATGCTAATTGGTCCCATTACGAGTCAGGCCTAACACTGATTTCACTATTATGGTCAAAATTGTGGTAGGGATGTATTAGAGCTTTGAATCACATGATTCATTAATCATGCATTAAGTCAACTTACAAGCTCTTACAAGACAATAGTGCGTTATAGCTTCGTAGTGGTATAAAATAAGGAAAATATTTTTCTAAACATTTTCATGACCTGTTATATGTTAGTGTTATAGACTAGTCATTTCTTTTTGCTCTCGAGCTCCCTCTTGTTTTTCCCCCACGCCTTTTTTTTCTGTTCTTCAGACGTGGACAAACTGTGAAGTTCTAGTGTTAATAGAGAGGTTGCGGCCGACGTTTTCAACGCGAAAACGTGAACGTCGGACGTTTAGCGCCACCTTCCTGTAAGCCTAGAAGTTACACAATGGCGTTTGGAACGTCCAGCATGATTCCACTGACTATCCAAACACCATTGTCAAACTTCTAGGCTTACACGAAAGTGGCGCTGAACGTCCGACGTTCAGGTTTTCGCGTTGAAAACGTCGGGCGCAACCTCTCTAATATATTGTGAGAGCCGGACTTGATGAAATTTTTTAGAGAAAAATTTCGACTTTCGAATGTTAAATTACAGTAGTTCAAAAGTCCAGCGAAGACGAAATTTTCAATTTAATAATTACCGGAAGATGATCGCATCTCTCTCTCCTCGGAGTCACTTCCTTTCCCAGAGGACTCATCGAATGTGTCACCGCGAACTATCTACAGATATTCACTATTGGTCGAAATTAGTAACGTGGCTAAAAAGAGGGCATCGAAACCAAAGAGGGAGGACCCCCGATATAAAAGAATTGAATCGAAGACAAGAAGGTAGTCGGGAGTCCGCAAATTCGCCGACATCAGCCTTATCCAGTATGTTACGCTACATAAGCTTTATCCATTTTATGACGCTATATAAAAATTAAACGAAATGTTATCGTCATCATATGTGTAATAGATACATAATTATAAAGAAATAATACCCGTTTATTTAAGTTTAAGTTAGATGTAAGAAATAATACCCGTTCAATGCTTTGACGTTCTTCCTATAATTTTAATGATTCTGTTTCAAATGATAAAATTTTATTAAAGCTTCATTCACTTCTCACCATGAGGCTGGCCATGTGGAAGTTTCTTTAGTTTTTCGCAGATAGTCCCTGTCAGCCAGCCCTCAGCCACGTGTTACGTTGTTATAACAAAATTAACCAAATCCTATGAGCACAAAGGGGCCTTTTCTGATGCCCATAGTTGTGCCAAGTGATGTGATGAAGGATAGAGACATACATATCTATATTTTTAACTCTCCTCCTTGTGAGCATCTTGTAACGAGCGAATTATCGGTTCGGTCAAACTCATAATGGGGCGGCGGGTGGTATCAGGACTGACCACTACCTGAAAAACACTTAGAGCTTTTTTGACCCAAACGAATTCGATCTGGGTTCTCCAAAGCGGTAGGATGCTACTTTTGTCGCTTGGCCATCTAACTTAAGACTCCTGACATATTTAGATAGATCAATTCAAAAAAATTCCCGAGGTCTTTTTGACCCATTCGAATACGATCTCCGGATTCCCCCGAACGGTATGCTGTACGGTAGGTTGAACGGTATGAAATTATAATGGTTACTTGATTATCTAATAACTATGGCAGTTTGAGACCGAAGGACCGAGCGGTCAAGGCAGCCTACCGCTCTGGGGACCGGGATCGAATCCGGACGGGTCAAAAAATCCCCATGAATTTTTGGGGAGTGGTCCGTTCGGATATGTCGGACCCTCACAGATGGCCGCTCCATTGTGGGTGTGGTCGAACCCATAATTAGTCTTGCTTAAAACAGGCCCTCTTAGTGCTCAAGGAGTAAAAAGAGTTAAAAAAAGAAATCATGACTGTAATTCGTTAATGCGCCTTCCGATATGACATCATCGCTTCAATTTTAAGAGAGAGAGAGAAAAAAAATTATTTTAATTTTTTATTTAAAATTTTAGATATATATATATTTTTTAAACATCCTTTACAAAATAATTTGTTTGTAAATAAATTTAAATACAACCAGAGTCTGATGTCTCAGCTATGTTCTAGAGTTAACGGGTGCGTTCTTTTATTCTTCCGAGTAACTCGGCGCGTTTAAAAGTTTCTACGGAACGCGTTCATAAACTCCCGTATGAAACAGTAAGAAGTTCATATACTCCGGCAGACGATATCAGACGGTTACTTTAATTAACGAACGTACCCAATGTGTTAGGTTGCCGATAGCTGGCGCTCCAGTAGCATTGAGGCATGGAGAAGTCGGTGTATGCAGTCGGTTATTGAATAGTTTTGACGTTTTCGAGCAATTTCGTAATATTTTTCTACGATAAATAGAAATAGCAGCATGCCAGATACTTGTTTCGTTACTGGGTGTATGTCTGGTAGGAGCAAATCTAGTGAGAAGCGGCATTTTTTCAGGGCAAGATCGAGGGTGTTAGATAAGTGGAGACGTTTAATTCCTGAAAGAAATGATTTAGAATTCTCCAAAAAATCGCAAATATGTGACTTGCATTTTGATGAAAGATTTATACTTAGGAATTATGTGCATATAATTGAGGGTAAGAGAGTCGTGATACCATGTAATACATGGCGCCTAAAACGTGATGCTTATCCTACGAAATTTTTCAATTGCGCGCCATCTTTGCCGGTTGAAGTTCCTGAATTACGTCAGTCTCCAAGGAAGGGAAAAACTACTGCCAAAATAAATGAGAATTCAGAAGTTGCAAAGGTATTATCGAGTAAGTAAAATGTCCTTGCAGTAATTTTGTTTAAAGAAGTTAATAAATTGAAGAAATAGAAGACTGTACAGAAAAGATGTAATTCTCGAGTCTTTTCTTATCCTTTTACGGTCATCTTAGTGTGCAACTATATAGACCCGAGAGAGCTAGAATAGGTGATGACGATTTGTGCTCTCTGTTTCTTGCCTGCTCGCGTCTATGTAGTTGCACTGTTAGAGTCGACGGAAAAAATGGCTCGAAGATGTAACAAAATCTTTGTAAACAATCCAGAACCTTTGAAATCTGGTAACAAAATTTTAATAAAAACGTAAGGAACGTGTTCGACCTTCGCCGAGGTCTGTTTCAAATTTAAAAACCTGCAAATTAATATGAATACCCGAAAGAATCGTCGGAGGGCTCTGAGCAGTAAAATTTAGAATCTGTAAAGTAAGTCTACAAGAGACAGTAGATATTGTAAAAAATTGTTATTGTTTTTATTGTGAAAGTGCCAAATTTTACAATAAAAGGTTGGCATTTTGATCATTTTTAACTTTAGTAATTTTTTAATAATCCACAGTTTGTGTTTTTAAGGAAGATTTAGTTATATCTTTTATATTATTTGATATTTTGAAATAACGTTAGCCAAAGGTGCAATTGAAGTTTCATCAAATTCGTGATTTGATGTGTTGTCATTAGGTATACTGTGTGTTATGTAAAAATAACATAAATAAATAGTAATTGTTTTGTATATTGTGCTACAATCATGCTGTATGAGGAGAAATATATTAAGTGATGGACAAATTTCATAAAGTAATATTGCTCGTTATATTAATGATGCGCAAGTGTTAAGGTCAATGAGATAGCAACTGTATAGGTTACAGACTTTTAAGTACAGATATATCAGAAAATTCAAGGACTAACAGTTAGAAAATTGTAAACTCAATAAGATTGCAGCTGTTGAAGATACAGTTTTATCTAATGAAGAGAACAGAAAAAACTTTCTGAGAGAGAAAAGATAGTTTTGAACGTATCTTGCAGTCAAACAAATCTCAGTCAGCAAAACTGTATAGCACTAAGTGGATTTTGGATTTATCTGCCTATGAATTCCTTCAAAGAAACAAGTTCTTGTCATTGTCACAACCAAGTACCGTAGGAAAATATATATGTAAATTTGATGCTAAATTTGGATTTGATTCTAATTTATTATCTAGATTAATTAATTAAAAGAAAAAATTAAGCATTATGCCTGAGAAGTAATGTCATGATTGTGTAATTTTTGATGAAATCTCTCTTCAAAAGTGATGGAAGATGCAATTAAATGGCTTGATCAGTTGGAAGATCTAACAGCTGTTAAAAAAGTATAAGAAAAAAAGAATGGAGGCTTTCTTAGTAAGCAGACATTTGAAAGTCTGAGGTTAACATTGTTCAGCATTCTGGAATTGTCTGAGTGGCTTTTGTCACAGAATTTTTATTATGTTTTAACTAATCTTTTAATCAAGATCCACTTAAGGTATATATATGGGAAACAACTGTGTAAATTTATATAAACTTATACAGTCTTAATGTAAATATATTGACTTTGTAAGTTAAGCTTTCATGGTCTTCCTCTAGAGTTAACATTAACCTTTTACTTATCTTAATTTTATTTTTCTTAGCAGAAACATTTTTGTGTAGTAGGAACTTATTATTAACATTGATTTATTATTTTAGCATTTCTTTGGTTTGATCTGACAAGGCAGTGGCACAACACGCACCTAACCAACGTTCAGTTATTATATCGAATGATTAGTGTCTGTTGCTTAGTGCATCAGTCAAAACATTCCTGTTTGTTATAACAAAGAAGATGGATCGCAAGTGCTGTTGAATCTGATATGCTCAAAAGACTTTGCTAGAAACATTACTGTGAAACAACAGTTCAGTGATGCATTTGAAAAAGTATTATTAAAAGTAGAGTATGAATACAGATTTATTAATAGCTTACTGACATCTTGGCTTGTTTATAAGCAGTAACATGTATTTTAGACTATCATTGCTATCACTTTCCATTCCATTTTTTAAACTTATCTTTAAGTCTTGTTCATTTTCTTTTTTCTAACAACTCCATTTGATTTTAAGAACTATATATGATTCTAAAAGCCTGATCTCTTGATTTTTATAAAGTTATAGACATATCCTTTCCAAACACTCACATTGCACTGAAAAAATCAGCAAGTGCACAGAACTATGCCAGGAAATAAGGCATTTGTGATAGATGGATAAGGTTCTTATTGTACTGTACCTGTTGTTCTCTCCTCTACAGGTGTCATACCACACACACCACAAAAACCTTGGGAACATTACAATCGAATAGAAACACATACACCACACTACAGAAGTTTGCTACATTGAAAAAATTTCATATTGTTAGGAAATTCCTGAATACGGACACACACGCTGACACACTGATTTAATTTTTTTGTTTCGTTTTGGTTACTATGACTTGACTCTTCGTCTTGCATAGTACACAGCATTTGTTGTCACACATAGTACACATAAATTTGTCACTTGTGTGTACTATGTGTGACAATAATTTTTTTTTATTTATTTTAGAAAATAAAATAGCAACAAGTAATTATAAAAGTAATTCTTAAATTCTTGTAGTTAATTGCTTTTGCTTTTCTGAAAAAAATAGATACAATTCTTTATTAATAGGGCATAATAGGAGAAAAATGGGCTAAACAGGATCTAAGTGTCGTCTCTTGCCAGAAAATGGTGCATTACCGATTTTAAAGCATAGTGGCGTGTCCATACTGTTATTTATAGATCATGGTTTTCTCTTATGCGCTGAGAGTGTTTTTATGTAAGCAATAGCCGGATTGGAGGAGAAGTCTAAACTTCCAAAATCTCTATGTGGACTGTCCAGATAGAAATGTGGATAGATTATAGCTGCAGTTTTGTGTTGAGACACTAATTTTCCTTGGTGCAATTTGTTTGTCATTTTATCAGAGGTAATTGCATGTGAAATGTAGAGCTGTCTCTTGTAATCTATAAATTAAGAGAGTTTCGGTTTTGCTCGACTTAATTTGATTAAATGGCTGGGACTAAAAATACTGTTTAGGTATGAAATTAAAGCTCTTACCCTGTACATGATACTGTTGAAGCAAGATTTGAGAAAGGTACAACTGTTAGTTGTGGTGGAGTGACAAAGATACAATGTTAAGCCTACTAGAAGCCTACATGTGGTAATAAACAAACTTGTCAGTTACTTGTGCACCATCTAGCAATTCACTTTTTCAACTATTAGAACAATCTGTTGATTGTCCCTATTTCTGAATGTTTTGTTAATTATGCATTAATTAAAAGACTTTTGCATTATTTTTTTAATATTAATAAATTTAAATGCTTATGCTAACTATTTAAATAATAATAAGAATCATATATTCACAAAATTTAAAACAATGTGATTGGTAAAAAAATTCATAAAAAATTTGTTGTAAATTCTAAAAATCAATAATATAATTTCCAGATTAAAACCAAGTAAAACTACTCTTTCTTATCAGACTTAGAGTGATTTATTTTAGCAGACAAACAAATAGCATTGAAATACTAAATTTTAACTTTAATTGCCAATAACTTCATGTTCGTAAAATCCAAATTCGTTTTACTTACAATAAAGGATCATCAGTGGACATAATGAACTTTAACAATTTCTGTTCCTTTTATGCTGTGCGATTTTTTCCCAGCATGCATCTACATTCATTCCTGTATTCAGATTTATTACATTTGCATAATCTATGGTACAAAAATATTCTATCATTCTTCTTTTAAAACAATTTTTAATTTTATATAATATTTTGACATTATTTCTATCTATTTTACAATAAAATTTATTACAATGTAAATTACCATGTTTTAATTTAGAGATTTTTTAATAATAAGAACCACTTTTACTTTTCGTTAGATTTGTTTTAAGAGTGTATAACAACACTTGTTGACTGTTATAAACAGTCAATGTAGTTAATCTTTTGCATAATTTATAATTTTTTAATTTATTTTTTTTAATTCAAACTATTGATTTAATCTCCTTGTATAATCAATAATTTTAAATATTTTTAACATTTACTTCAACAATTACTTTAAATTAAGCTAATTATGTTTATTAACATATTAATTAGATTAAAATCAGTCCATTTTTAATTTAATGATTCGTTTTCTTATTTAGCATTGGGGAATGAGAACGACAGAAGCAACAGTCTGCAGCCCTCGACGTCTAGACCGCTGACTGAAATCGAAGTTATTATAATTCGAAGTCACGTGAACAACATTTTATCTGAGATAGTTCCAGAAATTAAGGAAAATGAATCTTTAGGCATGAATACTTCACGGCAAAGAAAGCGGAGAAAAAGAAGTCTACCTAAAAGTAAACAAGCCAAAAAAGCCTATTCTCAGAAAGAAAACGAATGTAATAAGTACAAAGCCACGCAAAGAAAATACATTGAAGAAGTTGTTGATTCTTCTCGAGAAATGCAAATTCTTGACAGTGAAGAGGCTGTAGAACGGGTCAAAATTGCCACACCGGGATCAGGATGTGAAATTGAACGTAGCTATCGAGAGACAGGACCAGTGGTAGGAACCTCTTTGTACTGGAGATCAGGTAAATGTGGAGAACCTGCAGAAGGAGCTGGCATATTAAATATGTAAACTCCTTGGATTTTCTATGTCATATTTATTTATCATCTATATTTAATCTATTAACTACTTAAGTATTTGTATTTTAATTTCCATGAGTTTATACCAAGAAATTATCTGAAGTCAGATTTTCACATTTATTGTTAAATTTTTCTACGTTGCTTTAAAATATTATAATCTGTATCTGTTAGATGTCTTATATCATAAATTTGGCTGAAAATATTCAGATACACAATTTGTTCTAGACAAGGATGTGGAGTCGGAGTCGTGGAGTTTTGGTGTTTTAGCCGGAGTCTGAGTCGTCAAAAAATCTGCTGACTCCGACTCCCTTTTACTTACCAACTTTTTATGTATATGAAACAGAGTCGGAGTCGGATGGTAAGGAAAAGTCGGAGTTGGAGTCGGTAGATTTTTATGCTACTCCACAGCCCTGGTTCTAGAGTAAATTTCCAAATACACTTAAATTTATATTATATAAAGAAAACTCAAGCAATAACATTTTAAACATTCAATAAAGGTCTGTACAGTCGACCCCCCTATAAGATATAGATACGTTCCATTCTTTAGGAATCCGATTTCTTACGAGTCCTTCCAATCACAGCCCGACATGTGTCAAGTTTACGGACTACGGCTGATTGAAAGGTTTTCTTCCATAAAATTAATCAATTCTAGACTAATCCGACTCAACATTTACAAAATACGTATATATTTTTTGGAAATAATCCATATAAACTACGCTTTAAACAAAAAATTGTAGGATTACTTACCGAGTGTCACCATTCGACATCGCCATTGCTCAACATTGTTTTCGTCGCGGAACAGCTCAGCAAACCGCGGCCGATTTCTAATAACTTATTTTTCTGCGAATAGTTCCTTGAACTTCGGAGACATCATTAATATAAATAATTTTAATCGCCGTT